GTTGTATTGTAATGAATGTCGAAGATTACAAATCGTTGATTATTTCACTATCTTCAACTAGTAGTCACTAAAAGTTGAGGTTAGATTTGAATCAATATGAATTTCATACATGTAACAAAATGTGATAACGTTGGTTGGTGAACGTAGTTACGTCAGATAATTTAGGCGTTTGTGTAATTGTAACACCATAGCCTTGTTTCCGCTTGCCTTCCTTGAGTTCAGAATAGACTTGGCCACCCTCTCGTTAGGCATGCTTACAACGTGTCCAGACCACCGTAGGTGACGACGCATTGAATAAGCTTCAATACCACAGACATTAGCTCTTCGCAGAACATCCGAGTTCCTAACACGGTTGGACCACTTTATGTGAAGAATATCGCAGAGGCACTTAAGGTGGAAACGGTCTAATGCGCGTATATATCTCCTGTGTACAAACCACGTCACTGAAGAATATAGGATGTTCGGCAAGACGATGGTAATGTACACATTGAGTTTTGTTTGCAATTTGAGGTCATGTGAGCGGAATACCTTTTCCCTGAGTATGCCACACATTGCCGAAGCAGCACAAATACACGCTCGAAACTCAGATCTCCAAAAATAAACAGTCACCGTGGTTAAAATTGGCATGGTATGGTATATATAACACTAACGCTCGAATTATATGAAAAATATATAAAATTACGTATTATACTTGTGTTCTAACGTAAATTACAATACAGTACGTGTTTTGGCTTGCACTTTGCGTGATTTTTCATTTTGTATCATTAGTCAAATAATACCTTACTAAACACAGTATTTGTAACTCACAACATAAAATTTTCAATGTTAAATTTTGGGAACAATGAATCCACTATTTTATTGTAAAATGACGCACCCGAGAGGAACTATTTTTGATTTTTTTAAGTTTTTTTTTTGTTTTAACGTACTGTAATTATTTTGTAAATACATATTCACACAGAGCCGTGACGTAAATAGAGGATGTCGGCGGTGCCTAGACGCAAGGCGCAGACTCCAGTAGAGACCTACGCCCCGTAGAAACAACCGAACCGGCGTAGACTGGAGGTAGGCTATTTTTGAAAATAGGCTATTTAGGAGACTACAGGTAAGTAAGGATCAACCGCAAAGTACTAGCTTCTTCAAGTAACGATCAAAGTAGAACTGTAGATAATAATATATATAATAATAATAATATGTTTAATATTTCACACATATCTCACACACGGCGGTCTGATCCCAAACTAGGCAGAGCCTGTGCTATGGTAACCAGACTGCTGATAAACATACTTTTATATTTCTAAATACATACATATTATAGATAAAGTACACCCAGACACAGAACAAATGACCGTGCTCATCACACAATTATTTGTTCTGGGTGGGAATCGAACCCACGACCTCTGGCGTTGCAGTCAAGGTCACTAACCACAAGACCAACAGGCCAGTCAACAAAAGTCAGATAAAGTTTTAGTTGTTTAGTTGTATTTCTATGCTATTTAAAACTCCAGATGTTATTGGCGAAGTGCAGGAACTCAACGGGTAGTATATAGGTATGGTCATCTATTTTTCTGAGAGCGTCTAAAAATACCCGTTTTGACATATTCGGAGAAATTCCTTTACCAAGTAAACCTGTATACATGCAAATATTGATTGAAAAATAAATGGGCGTCCTGTGACTGTACCGGAGACAAATTTGTAAGAACCAATAAATATTTATTGAAGTCTTTGAACTACATACATTCCGATAGGGATGAAGGAGGTATGAGGGGGGATGGAACGGAATCGTATGAATTTTAAACTACTAATGCATTTTATTAAATGTGATACTCCGTTTGCATATATATTTGCATTAATTGGAAATACGAAACATTAAATTAATATTGATTTTGTGTGTCTTTTTAAGGCTCTGTCTTTTTTTGTTTTTAAATTTTTGTAATATTCGTTTGATGGTGAGCAGTTACCATTATCACATAATATTTTATAAAGGTGTTAAGGCAATGGAAAGAAAATATGTTGTCTTAGCGATTGATTAAGAAGTGTAACGAATAGCACCAGGTTGTCAGACCCTCGGGGTGGTTTTTAGTAGAAACACCAAATGCTCCTGTCTTCTGCGTCCCTAAAGAGCCGGAGATCTGATGAAATTTTCAACCCCGTTAGCATAAAAAAGGGGATCATGTCTAGAGGTCCATATTTGATCAGTGGGCATTGGAAAGTGATACGCGTACATACCAATTGTTTTTTTTTTGTACCTGAATAGTTGGCGTTCCGCTACTGTGCGCTTTTGGAGACACTTTTTGCCCCGCACAACCAATCTGTAGAACGGGTTATCGTCTGCGGTATTCCCGGACCGATACGACCTTCAAACCTTCAAGAAAAGAGCACACTTCTTCCTAAAAGGCCGGCAACGCGTTTGTGACTCTTGAGTTGCAGACTTTCATGGGCAGCGATGGTCACTTTCCATCAGGTGTCCCGTCTGCTCGTCTGCCCCCTCTAATATTAAAAAACCTTCACATAACACGACCAAATTAACTAAAAATACTCAATTCAAACTGTGAAAAACAAATTTATCTGTAGATACGCCCATATATCAGTTCACCTACTCGGGAAATTTCAATTTAGGTGTGTCTTAATTATTATCAAACTCATCCGACACTGTGTTATCAAAATCACGCAATACTACTAATTCAGTGAATATTGATTAGAAAAGCATGTGATAGTATTTTTTATCTTCTTATCATCGACGCCACGATTTGATAATAAATTAATAACGTCTTGTTAATTTTTATCGAACGTAAACACCGTACGAATATATTGTGACATAATTTTTTCGGCAACCGCGGGAAAATCATCCTTCAAAATAATGATATAACTTCACACATTTCACACACGGCAGTCTGATCCCAACCTAGGCAGAGCCTTGGTAGCCAGACTGTTTATAAACACACTTAAATATTTCTAACAGGTACAGGTACTCACTATAGATTAATTACACCTAGACACAGAACAAATGATCATGCTCATCACACAATATTTTTCCTGGATGGGAATCGAACCCACGACCTTCGGATGAGCTGTCAAGTTCACTATTCACTAGACCAAAAGGCCCGTCAGTACCGTCAATACTCCAACAAAATGTTTGTATCCGATTATATCCTTTTTTTTTTTCAATTCAGTAGTTTTGCTACTAAAGAGGTTAAAAAAATTGTCTTTATCTAAAAAGAGCTTCTTTTTTAGTTCGTAGTTAAGTTCTAAGTATCAGCTTACCTCCGTTGTAAAGATAAATTAGTGGACGAGAGTAGTTCGTTAATACAATACCGGTAACACTCTTTACACTCTGTGTAATGACCTTCTTCTTGAAGCTCTAAATATCATTTTATTCCGGACGCCAGACGACCGGATGGTGTAGTGGTTTATGTAACGGACTGCTATTCCAAAGGTGGCCATATTTCTATGGTTATATTTCTATTGGTAAACTACATAATAGCACTAAGAAAACTTAGAAAGGCATCAATTATTTTGCTATCGATTCAAGGCGGAGTCTATTTAAGCGGCGGTAGCCTAGTGGTTGAGGCATTGGACTTGCGATCAAGAGGTCGTGGGTTCGAATCCTGACCAGTACACTACCGACGTGAAACTATTCCTAACAAAAACAATTTAGTTTAGCGGGAGGTGTTAACGGGAATACTAGTAATTTCGGTTGATAGTGAACTTTAAAAAATATATATATTTATATATATATATGTATAAATATATATAACTTCAGTTTTTACTTCGGTTTCAGTCATTTTTTTGTTTGAATACTTTAAATTTTGACATTGACGTCACGGAGCTTATGGCCCCTCTCGCCCCATGTCACATAACGTCACACTTCGTTGATTCCCTTCCCCTATTAACGTCTGACGTAATTTTTAAATGGCCACTTAGCTCTCGACAAATTTTACGTTATTTAAAATAAATGTACGAGTATTTTAAATATAAAGCAATATATTTTCATAATTCATTCTGAGGTTTTTATTTTCGTATTCCGATCTATAAAGCTTTGTGATTTTTTCGATACAGCGATTAGAATCAAGTTTCATCTAATCATAGCAGTAACATAATAATTCTATTAAAATGCACAAAGCAAATAGACATCATGGCAGCCATAGCTGTTTGTATTCCGATATTTTCTCTTTTACAAATACGAAGAATAAATATCGGCGTTCGAATAATATCCGAACTCATTTAAATATGTTCATATTGTTTAGAAAGTGAAACGGAAAGTTAAATAAACATTGACAACTAATTAATGGATTTGCCGCTATACTGATCATTACTGTTACAATGGATTCATGCCGAGAGGTTTTCTATAAAACAAATAATCGCATATACTTGGAACAGAACACAGTATCTAGTTTTTTTTAAAAATTAATCTACATATCAGTCGCATTTAAATAATATTTCTAATTGATGACCTGACTCTCCCGAAAGGCTCTTTTACATTCTGCCACGACTTTTAAAAGCAAAACAGTCTACATAAATGAGATATATTTTAATACTAACTTCCTTGTATTCTTAACGATTTTTAAGCGACGTGTGTTAATGAAATTATTGTGCACTGTTACACTCAAGACAAGGAAAAGTTTTGATTTAAAAAAAACATTAAAATGGACGAATATATATAACTGATATTTAAACAATTGTCATAGGTATATCTGTCACAAGTCAAAATGTTGGTTCATTCAAAGCGTTACACGTTATCCCTTGCCTCTTTTGAATCCATGCGTAGTTAATTTAGGCCTAAACAAGCTCTTCAATTCAAATTAAAATATTCAATACCTATATACCTATGAATTTAAGTCTTGACTAGTTTTAAAACATAACATACAGCATCTGTATCTAAAACTGTGTCATTCTTATCTCGAGCGAAATTTTTTATCTCCCACATAACATTGTCAGAGCTGATAACGCGGAATTGATCGCGCGATAACTTGATAAAGTCATATAATACAGTGTCGCGGACAATGGGGGACGTTGCGCTCGTTGTTGGCGCCGGTAGCAACCTTGGCTACCAAGTCCTCAAGAAACTTACTGAAATCTACAATGGTAAAATATACTTCACTACAGAAGATGAAACTGCTGGTTGTAACATCCTCAAGAATCTCGAAAGAAATGGAGCCGACCTACATTTTGTGCAAATGGATATAACTTACACGAAGAGTATCATAAAATTGAGACATTATATTCAAGATTTTGATGAAAGAATAGAGTTGATCCTTAATGTCACAGATTATATGCCAGATACGAAGAAAATATCGCACGCAGAAAAAGTCAGAAGAACGCTTAGTGTTAATTTTTACGGATTTATAAATTTTGGCAAACTCATTTATCCACTGCTTGTTGAAAATGCTAGAGTCATCAATGTATCTGGGCCTGCTGGTCTTCTAGCGACGATAGATAACGAAGAAATACGGAGAAGAATTAGTGATTCAAATTTAAGAGAAGATGAATTAGTAGCTATAATACAGGAATATGAAGATGCTGTTAGACGAGGGACAGAGAGGACTGAAGGTTGGGGAAAGAGTGTTCAAGCTGTAAGTAAGGTTGCTCTGAACGCTGTGACATTTCTACAACACCGAGAATGGGCAGAGAATGGTGTAGTCATAAACTGTGTAAATCCAGGTAACTTAACTAGTAAAGAGAGCAGAAAATCGGCAAAAATTTTCGAAGAAGGAGCAAAAGCGATTCTTTACTTAGCGTTTGAGGCTCCACTTACCCTGAAAGGTCACTTTGTGTGGAGCAATTATTCGGTGATTGAATGGAATTCCGATCCGTTTATCGAAGTGACGACAGTATAAGACGATAAATAACTGCTGGAAATCAGTGAATGATGTAATCCGTTTAAAGATTTGTGTGTTTATGAGGTGCATGAAATAAATTATTGTGTTTTGTCTACAGGAATAGTATTTATTCTAATCCTACATTAAATCAGTATTATGAAGATAAGACTCTGATTTTGATTTATGTTTAGTGTGTACCCTTGATCTCAATTTTGGATGTGAGTATAATAGTTTACAACTATCATTACATAGTAATTAGAACTAGATTACGTTGATGTGATAAATCGTCGTATTAAAATTCTATTTTCTTGTGGCTTAGGTATTACAGCCATTAATTTGAGGTAATTCTGTAAAGCACGTAATAAAAACATAATTACTGAAAACACACCATGCCAATCATGTTAAAATATGTACAAAGAAAGATTTTTTTGCCTGTATTGGAGTAAACGTGACGATGATGATGTAAATGAAACATCTATCTGAGTTCAAGGATTATAATTATTTCAAAAACAAATTATAGTTAAAAACAAAAAAACACGCATTTTAGTTCAGCCTTTAACAAAAGCGTTTTTTTTTTGTTTTTTAAACTACAATTTGTTTTTGCTTTTTTGTCATTAATGATGATTATTTCTTCATTAAGACTTAGAAAGTAACAAGAAAGTAAGTCACACGCCTCTCAGTACGTAGCTAAAGATACCGTATTTTTAGGTATGACAAAAAAGCCGTTAATCCTCAATATCCTGATCAGGACAATCGGCCAAATTTATAAAATTATTGTATTGCCATCGGTTGTTGATAAGTGTGCGAAGTTTTAATTTAATTCGACGTTTTAAAGTAGGTCAAAATTACGTTCGAAGATTCCGTTACATCCATACATACCAAGCTAATAAAAGCTTGCCAAAAATAGACACAGGCAGTTCAGTCATTGCAGAATGTTGTGAATTAAACCAAAATGAAGCCATTCAAATGTTACGTTTGGGGTTGGACAAAAAAAGGATACCTGCGTCTAGTACAATGAGAAACAGGTCGGTAACGAGACAATGATTAGTAGAATTCTAAGTATTTGACCTATATTATTTGAATTATTCATAAATAGGTCAACAGATGGCCATCACTTTCCACTGGTGGCTGGAAGTAAGTGGAAGTAAGGAGGCATTTGTCCCTCCTATGGCTGGAGTAATTTTTTTTTGTAAGACAACTCCCGCACTAGGAATACATCCTGTGTCGCGGGGGACTTTACAAACATATATTAAACGGACACAAAGAACACCTAGACTCGGAACAGTAATTTGTGGATCACACAAAGTGTTGTCCCGTGAGGAGATCGGACCCACAACACTCAGCGCAGTAGGAAGCGGCGAGGTGACCGCTTAAACCACTACGCCATAGTTATGTAGATGATGATGATATGATGATATGATAGCATGCTGATGATGATGATATTAAATCATGTATAGCATAATCACAAGCACCCGCCACTGTTGTGTTAGCGAGTGGTGAGATAAGTTCTATTATATAAAACTATTTCCTGGCCTTGTTTTAGCAGATTAAAACTAATATCTATTTAATTATATCGGTTCTATCTTTACCCTAGTCAAGATATTATAAAATTTATTTTTATCTATGAAACTACGTGATAATAAAAATTGTTTATTTTCCAGTGTTCTTTGGCATGTTATTTGAAATATAATCCCCTCGGATACCACCCACCGGTGGCTGTCGGACTAGAACCGACTAAAAACTGCTCACCGTGACGGGTACCAGTAGCCAGGGAACCAGGTGTACCCTAGAAACAAAATCCCTGGTACCCCGACGTATTTCGGGGGAACTACGGCGGGTAGATAACCCTTGCTGTGTGCGAACCCCCATGTTCCCTTTTTGCTCCCGAAAAGACGCGCACGCTCCGCAGCCTGACAGATGATCTCACCTGTCAGCTGTGTTACCCTGACCTATTCTAGCTCCTGTTTACTTTTCTAATGCTGTACGTATAAATATTTGTCTCCTAAATGTTTTAGAGCTACGGATAACAGTTTTATTAAGATACACATTAGCTTATAAACTGTTTGGGAAAGGAAACTGGTCGAGGTAACATGACATTTCATGGAAAAAACAATGATTCAGATAAGGACTGTCAAATAAGAGGGTTTTATCTCGTAAACTTTAAAATATTAAGCCCCAGTCAGATATCCATGTACTGAAACGGTAACATTATCATTGAAATTTGAACCAAATCACGTGTTTTGTATTCATAGCGCGTATCGCAAGTATTTATTACGGTTTATACCTGTACTGTGGTAGTGACACATCAATGTACCGTGTCCCAACAATTTTACTGGAAATCGAACAGTTTTAAGGTAAAAGTCCTCTCGTAAAATCACTTTTTACTATCTACAAAGGTAATTTCGCTGATCGTTTCGTGGAAGCGTAGATTGAGTCTAAATGTCGTAGTTTAGTAGTGGATCGCATTTGTACCTTATTCCTGTTGTATACAGTAGTTTTTTGATTGGCGTTGATTTTTCTATGACTTTCAATTGAACGCAGAAATGAGACAATTTATTTGATTAAACTGTCGTTAATTCGATCTGAATGTTACAATGTTTGTTTGTCTCTCGTTAACTTTCAAATTACTTTTATATTATGTGATAAATAAAGACCAATACTTATATAAGACTTCACGGATGGCGTAGAGGTTTAAGCGGTAGCCACGCCGCTTCCTACTACGTCGAGTGTTTTGGGTTCAAACCCCACATGGGACGACACTTTGTGTGATCCACAAATTGTTGTTCTGAGTCTGGGTGTTCTTTGTGTCCGTTTCATGTATGTTTGTAAAGTCCCCCGCGACACAGGATTTATTCCTAATGCGGGAGTTGTCTTTTAAAAAAAAAGAAAATAAAAAGAAATACTTATAATATACTCGTAATATGTCGCATATGTTCGCGTACATTTGAGCATAAGGTTGGCTACTGCAGTCACCTGAGGGCACATGACAGGGCTAATCATCCTGGCCCACCAATAGACAGACAGCAGTCACCGTAGCCGGAATCGGCAAGGGAGATATATATAATATAGGATATAGTTTGTATTATTTATTTATAAAATATAGTAAATATATGATACATTGCAGAAGTTCCTATTATTTACTTTTTGGAACGAAGTTCCTTATCGCGCGTTGTGAAAGGGGGCTAGACGGAAAAAAATCTCACGAAAAGTTGTAACGACACTTTTTATTTTGAATTGTCACTTGTCAGTCATTCAGCGCCATCTATCGAATAGATAGGAAATCATTACTTTTCATCTCAGTAAAATTAAAATTTATGTTCTTAGGTTGAGCAAAAATATTGTATTTGACATTATTTCTCAAGGAGATTTTACCAATGTATAAATTGTTTTAATTAGAAACCAACTGAAAAATATGTAGGTAATAGCCGCTTTCATAGATGGCGTTGTAATTAAAATTGTGTCGAATCAGTTTTACTCGATCGTCACAACTTCGTTCCTATCGGGTGTCCCACGACACCACACAGCTTTTTAATGTTCTTTAGTTCCTGTTTTATTATGAGTAGTCGTTTCCCTGGTGTGCATATCATATGCGAATTAAAAAACCTTAACACAAACCCTATACCAACCTGCCTGGCCAGCGTGGTATAGTAGGGCAAAACCTCGTTACTACGGAGAGGCCTATGTGCAGCAGTAGACTATTAAAGGCTGATGATTAGATATAAGTTTCTGCCTTGATGATTGGTAAAACTTATTGATCGTGTTAATTCCAGAATTAACAATGATAATATTTATAATTATTATCAAAATTAGTAAAAAAATATATGGTATGTACATTATACTAGAAATAACATGCATATACTGCTGCTGGTACCCACGACTTTGCTCGCGTGGAATTTTAAAGGCTTTTTCTGAGCGGAAAAATAGTCTAAGTTATTCCTTATGTAGACAGCTTCCTAGAAGTAAAATATTATCGAGATCGGTCCAGCCGTTCAGAAGATTACCCAGAACAAACAGACAGACAGACTAAAAAAAATAAATTGGTTTTCAGGCATAGGTATCGTGCAAATAACCGTGTAAGCATGAAAAAGAACCTAAAATTTTGACATTACAAACAGACACTTCAATTTAATTTATTTGTATAGATAAAGTCAGTGCTTTTTTGGAAACCCCACCTCAGGTATGACCTTGCCGAGCAGTTAATAAAGTGATTGCGCAGGCCAATTATATAGTTAATTTTAATAATTTTGTATCTTAAACAGTAGCCCTGCTATAAGATAATATTCGTATCGGAACGATAATAGGGCAGTTTGATAACTTAGATGTTATGATAATATGACAAGTAATTTCGAAATTCAAACTAAATTCTTGATTAATATTTAGCTGCTTTTAGAATACAACCGACTTCAATGTGCGTCCTCGTTATGAATTGAATCGAGACGTATTCTTCATTCCTTAAGATTCACTTTTAAACTTGCGAATTTTAACCTTAAGTATTCTATTTCAAACAAAAAAATAATAATTTTCTAAATCGGTTCCTTAATAATGAAGGTGCAGCCAAAATGAGAAACTCATGGGAGAGCCATGCTTCGGCACGAATGAGCCGGCTCGACCGGAGTGATACCATGGCCTCACAGAAAACCGGTGTTAAGAAATTCTTTCGTTGCCTTTCACTGAGTGAGTGAGGTTACCGGAGCCCAAATCCCTCCTCCCGCTAAGGAGGGACTCCAAGGGCAGCAACGCACTTGTGACTTTTGAGTTGCAGGTGTCCATGGGCGGCGGTAGTTGCTTACCATCAGGTGACCCGTCTGCTCGTTTGCCCCCTTATACCATAAAAAAACAAAACTCCTCCTTTTTAATTTCTGTTAAAATCACAATCATCATCATTTAGGTGTGTTAATCTCATTCTTTTCTTCTTCTTTTAAAATCTACTTCTATTTATTTATCCTATCTTTTTTTCTTTGTCGTCTCTTTGTAGGGTAAGCTAGGATATCGGATAGATAGATGGGTTTTCCCCTCCA